AAAAAGTGATAATTTTATCATTTTTTGTGTGTTTGTAACTTTTTTGAGCGTTTGTCACTTTTTTTTGCCACTTTTTTGAAATTTTTTCACCTTTTATTGTTTGTTACTTTTTAAAAATTTATATCACTTTTTTGAATAACAAACATAGGTTTTGATTGGTGTTTTGTCACTTTTTGAAGTATTTGTTACTTTTTTGAGTTATGTATCACTTTTTGAGTGTGTCACTTTTTTTGAATTTTGTCACTTTTTTTGAGTTTTGTGTACAAAAAAGTGACAATTTTTTTAATTTTACACAATATTTTTCACTTCCTAAAAACCTTTCATATGGTTTTTCAAAATATCCCTAATTTTAAGGGTATTTTTGTAAGTACTCCCAAGTTTAATCTGTTTGGGTCGGTCGGGTAGGGTCGGATCGGGTCGAATTTACACTAATAATTGAATTGTGTTGGTTTGATTTTAAATCAAATCGTCCATTTTGAGTTGGGTTTGGATTAGTTAAAAAATTAACTCAATCCATGCCCAACCCTAATTTTAGTACTTTAAGGTACATAAATAATTGTATCGTTCAAGAAAACTTCTATTCTTTTACTCTTTATTTCTTTTTTTTTTCCTTCATTTGCATCGTTCTTACGAACTAGATCCAGTCTACGAAAATCAATACCAACAATTATTCCATTGTATTAACACAATTTCAATATGGGTGGTTATATTGACATCATTTTTTTTACTTGTTATGTCATATTTTAATTGTATTCAAGATCCTCAAGCTTTGCCTATTGTAGCATTTATGTTTTTAACTTTTTTTTTTTCGTCGAGTTCTTCAAACTATTATTAATTAGCATATCTCATTGTTTGATGATGGTTTCAATCAAAATATTTCGTTTGCATTTCAATACACTTTTTTAATGAAAAAATCAGCAGAGACGAGATGTGCTATTTAGTGGAAGCTTGATGATGAAAATTCAAATAAAAAAGCGAAAGACACAAGTGTTAAAATGAGCAAAAATTGAGGTCATTGAGTGCAATTAAAATGTAGCGAACAAGTAAATATTATAGCGTGAATATAATATCGGTTCCATTTTTCATTTTTCAATTTTTGAACTAATTAGCAAATGTCGAAGGATAAATAACAGAAATATCCCCCCCGGAGTTTGGGGCAATTATGTAGACACCTCGCTTGTTAAAAAATAGGCAATTGCACACTACAATATAATTTTCACTAAATCATATTTTAATTAAAATGAATATTTTTAACTTGTGCTCATTTTTGCACTTATGTTTCCAACTTTTTTTCTTTACATTTTTATACCCAATCTTTTATTAATTAACATATCTTGACTTTTATCACGATTTTGATTCAGAAATTGTGTTAATACGGCATAAGAAGACTAATTTGCAAATCATATTTTAAATAAGCCAAAAAAAAAATTACAAAAGTTTGACAAAGTATTTGTCTACATTTTAAAGCATGATGAATATTTGAGCAAGAATTTTCATTAGACACAAAACGTGCTAATTAATTGAAAGTTAAAGGTAAAAATGTTAAAAAAAATAAAATAAAATTGGAAACGTAAGTGCAAAAATAATCAATAATTGAAAACTTACATTGAAACTAAGGTGTGACGTAGTTAGCAAAAACTTGGAACTAATATAATCATCCATAGTTATTAAAATCGGACGTTCGGTCTGGCACTTGAACCGTCGAACCAGTAATGGTCCAATCCAGTTGGCATTATTTGAACCATTTACAATGGAACCAGCCATGAACCGCCCAAACCGGTTAATTATTTAACTAAATCAGACCGTGGGTTTTGAATCGGCTCAAGGAGAACCAATTTTTAATGAAATTCATTCAAATCTTTTAAAATTTAGTATCCTTAATAACTAGTGAATATTAAAGATTTCATTAATAGATGAATTTTAAGTTTAAAAATACATATAACCAAATCTGTTGTAATTTCACAATATTTGATGAGATTTTTATGAAATTTGTAAAAATCTATTCAAATCCACGAAATTTATTAGGATTCATAATCTTTTAAAATCCATCAAAATCTTAGTTGAGGACACCCTCGAAAATTTTCGAGTGTTGTTTAGTTGGTTTATTATTGAATCATTATTTTCTTGTTGACTTATTATTGAATGTTATTTGCTTGCTAACTTTTTGTTGAATTTTCAAATTAATGTTGTAGTGTTGAATTGTCGAGTTATCATCAGCGTGTTCAGTAGTTGAAAAATAAGAAAATATGCCACGTGAAATTTTTGACATGCCAACACCGATAACATGTCGGTTCATCATTGTTTCAGCCTCCAAACTAAATTCTAACTAAATTCCTAGATCTGTCCTTAATCCAGCCCCCCTTGAATCTGTGCCTGAGCATTGCAGAAGATAACTAATATCAACCATGAACGCATGCACAATACTTCGACTCATCACCGTGGCAAGTTCATAGACAAATCAATAAAAGCCAGTAGCAAACAATCTCCAGATCTTGTCAAAATGATAAATATGTTTCAATAACAGGTAACATTACCACAATTCGACGACTAATTCAATATAGAGAACCTTAACTGAGACAATATTGAAACAAATAACTATTTTGGTGTTCTCCCATCTCCAAATATACATTTACGGCTTGACCTGACAAAGAAAAACAATGGAAATACTAAATTAAATAAAATATAAGATGCCATATATCAGCTTTCTAATAACAAAAACAGCCATTCAAGGATTGATCAATGAGTACACAGTAATGTGAAAAAAGTAATTAATAAACAGCAGAAGAGTAATAAACAAACTATGCATTGTTATCTCAAAATTGAAATGTTAAAATGGGAATATGACTAAAAGAAGCAATGGTACAAGCAATGATATATAATTGAAGCTATTGGATTCGGAGGATAGCTATATTATAGAAGCCAGAACTATATTTAGAATGCAGCTACTCCAAATTGAACTTTGCAAGAAAAATACCCATAATTTATAAGCCAAAATGACTCAATAAAACCTTATCCAAATGTGAAACTATATATCGGTAGAGAAGAAAAGTTTTCAATGCACTGTCATGTGCAATTTGTATGTCACCGTCAAATCGTGATACTTTCTACAATCAGATGAACGCTCTACTTGGAAAAATGATATTCATACAAATCCAACGGCAGCTGCATTGATCATAATTACATATTGGAAATCAAATATAAAGTAAACAAACTTACAGAAAACAAGAGTAAGAGAATTACCTACTATAACAAATATATTAGCTACTTTCTATTGTATGATCATTTGCCTCAGATGATTCACCCTGTCTCCAGACTGCTAACACTTCATCTGTTCTAAACCGCTGGGTGAATGTCGATTCCTCAAGTGGAGTTGACATGCCATAAGCATGAGCAAGGAGCCCTGTATAAGCAATCATTGCCCCATTGTCAATACAGTAACGGTCATCAGTTGCATATAATTTCCCGCCTCTTTCAGAGCACATAATTCGCATCATCTCTTGCAACCGCTCATTGCATCCCACTCCACCAACAATTAGCACATCCTTCTTGTCACAATGTGCCATTGCCCGCTCCGTGATCTCTACGAGCATTGCAAACAAAGTTTCCTACAAGAAATATATATGAGCATAAATTTAATAAGCCTTCTGATTTTTGATATTGATAAACAGCTACACCAGATGCATATTGTCTACACAAGAAAATATCAATTACTTCACAAATCAATTTATGGTGTGTTTGAACCACATTATTTTGGAAAAATATATTTTGGAATAGTAGATTGATGGAGAATGTGTGGTTGAAAAATGAGGAAAAGTCATTGATGTGATGGAAAATATTATTTTATTGAAGAATGTGTGGTTAAAAATGAGTAGAAGAATGAGATGGTAGCTTCTTCAACAAGACGGTCATCACATATTCACATCTTAGCATTAATTGCATTAAACCACATTATTTTGGAAGAATGTATCTTGAAATAGTAGATTGATGGAGAATTTGTGGTTGAAAAAGAAGGAAAAATTATTGATGTTATAAAAAATATTATTTTATTGAAGAATGTGTGGTTGAAAATGAGTACAACAATGAGAATGAAAATTTTAATGTGGCTCAAACATGGGCTTAATCTTGAATATCACCTGTAGGGAGTAACATAAATCTGCAGGGGTGCATTCATTAGCTTTAAGCTTCTCTTCAGCAGTGGCTTCAATATAGCTTAATATCCCACTGAAAGAAACATCCATTCCTTTTACAACATACGGAAGGTCTATAAATTGTGTGCCCTTTTTTGCAAGCTGCGAGAAAAATAGCAGTTAGCCTAACAGGTTAGCATTATTAGAAATACCTCGAACGACAGCTGTAGCCTGTTGGGCATCACAAAGGATTGAAAGGGAAGTGTATCCTTTTCATGTTTCTCCTAGTTTAAAATATCACATATTTCCCTGTTCATTTATTAATGATTTTTTTTTTTTTAAAGTTGCCATTCAAAAGCTTAAAGATTTCAAAATGTCAATTACAATATAGTATAAAAATCAAACAAGTTAAAGTGGAGATGCTAATTTTAATTTGCGTCCTGCACTTCGAAAGTTAATTCATTATACTAACCACTCTGGGAACCACCTTTCACTAGTTACTGACAAACATACCTGCTCAATGTTGTAGCCAGGGCTGGGATCATTAGACAGAGTGAGAACCCTAGCAAACCTGTCCAAGCAATTCCCAACAGCAATATCAATTGTCTCCCCAAAAATTCGATAACGGCCCTCACTATAGGCAATAACCTGAGTGTTCCCCCCACTCACATACAACACAACCGGGTCGTCAGCCCCAGTTACAATTCTTCCCATTTCAATATGCGCTACACAGTGATTAACAGCAACAATCGGCTTCTTCCAAAGCTGGGATAGCATGCGGATCACCACAGCTGCGACCTGAAAGGAGAAGCCAAAGTTCGTTCTGTACATAATGTATCAGCTGTGACATTGTAGAAAAACAGTTTTAATCACCCTAGAGCATCACGTATTGGATTTCTATGAACAATTCACAATACGTCAATTATGTTATGAAATCTAGAAGAACCAAATGCCAAATACTTGTTTATTTAATAACTTCTAATTTGATATTCATTGTTGAATCAAAGTTTTCGAAAATAAAATTAACATAAAATCTATATTTGTAGACAATCTTTTTTGAGATTACTGAGACAAGCAATTTAATATATTCACACCGTCAAGATTAAATCTTTCCATTTTGGAATTAACAAGTGATATCAGAGTTTAATAATCTGAGTGCCTATGAAAAGGAAAGTTTTCAGACAGATTAAGTGCATGATCAGAAAAGAGCCTGCAATTTCCTACTAATCTAGAATTTCTTCTCAAAGGCTACCATTATTTGATATAAGTGATTGTACATCAATATCCTAAAATGTTCCGACGAATATAATCTCCTGTAGTTTTTTCCTTCTACTTTAGATCAACACTTGCTCCAAGTGCAAGAGAAAATTCAAGTAGTACATTATGGTTTTGTCAGTTGTACCTCGACTTATTGAATGGGAGATTTACAAGGGAAAAAAAACCACCCAAGTTAATAACTTTTTATCCTTGCATCTCATGCCAAAACTTCTGTATGAAACACTTAAAAAAGAATTTCACTTTATGCAGCATTGGTTTTTATTCTGTTCCTAGTTGGGATTTCCTAATCCCAATTAGGAGAGAAAAATTAGGCAAAACAAAATAGAAAACACACAAAAGCAAAGACACACGTTTACAACAGTTCAACTTCAGTGTGAAGTTCGTACACTAGCCAAGGCATGTGTTTTGTTGAATGCCTACCTATAGCAATGATGTGCAAATTTAAAGCACAAAGTACACACTTCAAAGTCCCAAATTGACCATTAATGAAATTGCATCACCTTACTCTTACAAAAACAAAAATTCCTAACAAAAATATGTACACAAAGACAAATAGTAACACCTGAAGTGGGGCACCCATTCCAGGGCCTTTGGTGTAGCAGAGGCAATCAATCTCATCAGGTGTGATTTGGGCCTCCTTCAAGGCAGATTTGACAAGGGGTAGCACATGCTGGAGATGGTGCTGAGCAGTTTCTCTGGGTAGAAAGCCTTGGCCGGGTGGGGTAATGTAAGTATGGCGTGGATTGGACAAAATGGTGCCATCAAGTTTCACCACTCCCACTCCGATTTTGTTGGCCGAACCCTCGAACCCCAAAGCTATCAAGTTCTTCTTTTCCGCCATAGAATCTCTGGTTTCACAGCGAAGTGTGCGTTTGTGTGTGTGGAAGGGGATGGGAAAGGGCGCGGGTTAAACTAGGGTTTTGGAGGGGGGGGGGGGGAAATGAAACGGTCATTTTCGAGAAAATTGCAACTTCGATCCCAAACTTTTTCAAAAGAATATAGTGTGGTCCCATTCTTTGATTTTGCACCATCACGCCAAACGAACATGTGCAGCATAATGACTTTTGGACTTATTGTAGTTTTTGGACAATGCTAGTATATGTAACATGCGCGTTGCACGAAATTTTGTAACAACATTGCGGGACATTTTACTTTCAAATATTTAATTAATTATCGACCCCGCTACATGTACAATGCTCCTTGACAACAGTTGTTGACAATATGACGTGTCAATTGTTGTTAACAGAAAAAAAGGGAAAAGTAAAGAATAAAATATTATTTTATCTTAAACAGCCCCTCACCCCCAAAAAGAAAAGGACAAACCCCTCTTTTCCCCAATTTCCCCCAAAAACGAAGGAAACCCTCCAGTCTCTCACTCATCCCTCCCATTTATTCTGGTCGTCACCATTGATCCGTTCGGCGTCCTGTAAGCTGCCACCATTTTTGCTCTCTCGAAATATCACATTAGTTAAGCAAGATTTATCTTAGTTCTCCCCAAATTTTCCCCAAATCAAACACCCACCCTACTCTCTTTCACTCCCCTCCCCATTTTCGTTCGGCCGTCGACTCCCCTCCAAACGTCTCCATAAAATCCGGTCTTGTCGTCACAGTAACTGAACGAGTCACCGACTGGTGGAAGGTATGAAATTTTTGGATTTTTTGAAAGCTTTGCCATTTTATGTCAGAAATCATTTTGACAGTAAAGGAAGGGAACGTATTTCATATTTTATTTGGTTACAGAATTTGTGAAACTGAAGGACCGTAATTACGAAATTTCAGTTGACGTTTTGGTTGTGGGTTTTGCTTGATTCCAGTTTTCGAATGGGTGGAAAGAATTCGGGAGTTTGCCACAGTTGCAGGCGCAAAGGCCATTTCTTTGCTGAATGCTCGACAAAATTTTGATGCCCGGCGTGCAAGAACGGTTTTCAAAAGTGTTTTGAGGTTGAAAATGATACTCCAAACAAAGGCAAACTTTTCAAGTGTTGCAGTCACAAGTGTGGATTTTGGGAGTGGTGCAACATTGGAGAATCAAGCGGAGAATCGAGTGACGTTAGTAGTACTGAACTTGACAATATATCCCGCATGTTCGAATCTGAAGTTCGGCTGAAGGACGAAGAAGAAATCCATGTATCTGTGACTGTGACAATCCGCAAGAATAAGTAAATGTTCCTCTACTGCAAACACGAATGGAAGGACTCGTTTCTGCAGTTGTTTTAAGTTTTATGTTTTACTCGTTTAATACTTTCTGTTCATACTCGTTTAGATTATTATCTTCTGTTCTTCTGTTTAGCAAGTCAATTCTGAAAATTTTCATTTTTTGCAATAATTTTCAAAATCCAACATTTAGTTCACAAACATTTACATATTATTTTTTGCAGTTCCAAGTCTAATTCTTGCTATGCTCGTGTCGATGTTAAAAGTTTGTAAATACTTCATATTTTAGTGTTGTTAACATGAATAAGATCAATTTCAATGCTAGTATTGCCATTCTATTATCATATATGTGATTATCGTCTCTCGCTAATGGTTGAGTGATAAAATATTGGTGGTTTAACCTTTTTGATGTCTACCTGATTGCATCTTCAATTAAATGGACTTGAGATGACTCAAAATGGATCCTATAGACTCTTAATCCATTGTATAAATTTTAATAGTTCATGAAACTTTACATTAAAATTTGGAATAATTGTAGTAGCGGTACCAAATATTTCATTTAGTAACAGATTTTGTACAAACCTTTCATTTGTACCAACCACAGTACCAAATCTTTTAAAAATTAGCACATGGGGTCCAAATGGATGATTTCCGTTGTTTGACCAGATAATACTTGACAATAATTTTGATTAATTTTAAAAAGTTAAAATGGTAAATTTACTCCTTTTTTTTATAATAAAATAACTAAAATGAAATAATTAAAATTAAAAATCAAAAATCAACTAATTCTTCTCCATTCACCCCACACATATCCACCCCACCCCAAAATCATCACCACCACTACCGGATGGCTCCACTGCACCCACCCAACGTCAGCGTCGTTGCCATCCCTTCCACCTCCTCCATTTCCATCTTCATTCCCATCACCCAACAAATATTTCTTCCCCAAATCTTCAATCCCCAAAATTTTCTTTCCAAATCTTCCACAGGTGGAGTCCCATTCGCAAGGCACTGGTTAGTCACTACCCAAGCATTAGAAGTCTGCTATTGTGATGCCCGCTATTTGATTTCACTTTGCTCAGTTGTATCAGCTTCAGAATCTTCAGCTGTTTTGATTCAAAAAAAAAAAAATTGTCATAATTAGCATTGGCTGCACTGTGTGAAGCTACTTTGCTAAGTGGTTGGACATGTCCTGCAACTATATAAACAAAAATAAAAGAAATAACTACTCCTATACCAATATTGCAAGTTGTATGCACCAGCCTGTTGTTCAAGAAGAACTACTCCTATGTTGCATTAGAAGTCTGTTGTTGTGATGCCCGCAATTTGATTGCACTTTGCTTTGTTGTATCAGTTTCAGAATCTTCAGCTGTTTTGATTAAAAAAAAAAAAGGATTGTCATAGTTAGCATTGGTCGCACTGTGTGAAGCTACTCTGCTAAGTGGTTTGACATGTAAATGTCCTGCAGCTACTATATAAACAAAAATAAAAGGAAGAATTACTCCTATACCAATATTGCAAGATGTATGCACCAGCCTGTTGTTCAAGAAGAACTACTCCTATATTGGGGTTTCAAGATTTGGGGAAGAAAAAGTTGTTGGGTGATAGGAATGAAGGAGGAAATGGACGAGGTAGAGGAAATGGCAGTGGCGCCAGTGTTAGGTGGGTGTGGTTGAGCCGTCCAGTAGTGGTGGTGATATTTTAGAGTGGGGTGAATAGAGAATAAGAAGTTAGTTTTTAATTTTAATTATTTGATTTTAGTTATTTTATTATAAAAAATGTAAAATTATCATTTTAACTTTTTAAAATTAGTCAAAATTATTGTCAATGTCAATTATCTGATCAATTAACGATCAAACTAACATAAATAATCTATTTGGACCTCATGCGCTAATATTTTAAAAGTTTGATACCGCGTGTGGCACAAATCAAAGGTTTGGATAAAATCTACTACTAAATGAAATATTTGGTACCGCTACTGCAACTATCCCTTAAAATTTTGGTATAGGTAAAACAAATATGGATATATAACACAACAAATTTGAAATTAGGCCATACCATATATGTTCTTCGGTGCAGAAACATGTCATACTCATTCTTGCAAAAATCCCTTATA